GACCTATAAAGCCCATGGGCCTCTTGTTATATCTGTAAACTTTACTCCATTAAGATTGTGATTGTAGAACAATATTTTAGTGATCTGTATTTACCTCTGTTTACAATATTTGTCTTATTTACATATTTTAAAAGCTTATTTCTACAAAACATATCGTTAATAATCATTTGTTTTGCATATATTACTTGTTAAATTTATGGAACAGTTTCAACAGTTTAAGATTTTAAGGAATAGACACATTGTTCATGTACAATAGAACACTCTTATAATGAACATGCTTTTAACAAATTGACGTTTACAGCAAAGTGATTTTCATACCAAGCTTTAAAATATATTGTGAATGTAACTGATATAAGTTATGTTTTAACTTATAACAAAGCAAAGCTGTCCGTCCTTGGCACTTCATTATAAGAATGTTTTACTGTACTTGTAACATTTTTAGAAAATATTTTGTAACACGTATTAATAAATATATATATTTTTTTAATATTCATGTTTCATATTAATGCTGTTTTAATACAAAATCATGTTCATGAATAAATTATCATTTTAAATTACAATTTATGTATTTCTATGTTATTGTTTATTGTGGGTTGCCCATGTACCACAATGGAGTAGAGCAACTGCTTTATAGAGTCAAAAAGTAAGGAGTTGATCCTTATACATCCCAGATTTTGAATCCCACTGTGGGAAGTGGAGACCAGTCTTTTGGATGACCTCTATAAACCGAGATCCCACGTGCTGGCACAAAAAGATCCCTCCTGCTCAATGGCCCTGAGTGCCAAGTATAGGACAAAGTTTGCAGCTCTCCACCGACAAGTGGTGGCGTCTCCATATGAGTGAAAAATTCTAAAGAGGGACATTAAACAATACACAATCAATCGATCTTCTCCTGAGGCTTCATCCCACCACCCAAGGATCATGCATGATTAGAGCAAATATGAATCTTGTACACCGCCTGAGGATGCTGCGATATAAAAATAAAATAAGTCATTTAGTAGGAACACGGATATTGCGAATTCACGGATAAAGCAAAGTTATCTTGGACCCCATAAATTTAACGAATTCCTTGAACAGATATAAGAAATTATTGACATAAATTTAACGAATTCCTTAAACAGGTATAAGAAATTATTGATATATTGAAGTAATTTCATAGGTTGCAGTGACTTCGTTATATCCAAGTTTAACTATTTATGACCGTATTACAGTATATGACCGATTAATACAATATATGTTACAGCCTTCAATCTTATATGGTGGCCCAAACCTATACCCAAGGGTACGAAAGACGAAAAGGGCCACATAAAAAAAATATTTTTATCTCGTTATTACAAGTTAATTATCTCGTTTTTACGAGAAAATATCTCGTAATAATGAGAAAAGATCTCGTTATTATGAGTTAATTATCTCGTAATAATGAGAAAAGATCTCGTTATTACGAGGTAATGATCTCGTTATTGCGAGAAAAGATCTCGTAATAACGAGAAAAGATCTCGTTATTACGAGTTAATTATCTCGTTATAATGAGAAAAGATCTCATAATTACGAGAAAAGATCTCGTAATTACGAGAAAAGATCTCGTTTTTACGAGTTAATTATCTCGTAATTACGAGAAAAGATCCATATAAAAAATGGTGCGTTTCATTGTTCTAATCTCTCTTAATGTAAAATGGATGAACCTACGGAATTCATAAAATTAGTAAAAGAAATATCAGAAGAAGGAGCAAAGCAGATGTAAAAAAAAATCTTCAATGCATTTACAGTAACTCACTCGAACCTGCACTTGTATGGAATGTCATTTTTTGATACCTTTTTTTATTACCATAGAATCTCTAATGGTTTGCGATGGTATATGAATTTATATAACGTGTTGTGTGTTTTCTATCCCCGAGCCTTTGCAACCCATGAGATTGTTTTAATCGCATGATTTATCCTAGTCGTGTAGTTAAACTTTGATTTTTTGTCAACTTTACAGTCGTTTTTTTAGCCGCAAACAACGTTTGCTACGTGACTCCAGTATTTTTACACAAGAAGAATATGTTCCTTGCACAACAGATAAACATAGTCATTTTCGAGCAGATATTTTTTAAAATATATTTTTTAAAGACAGTTTAGAAAACGAAGTGGAAAGGGTAATATTTTATCCGATATCGTAATAACGAGATAATTAACGCGTTATAACGTGAACTTTTCTCGTTATTATGAGATTTTTTCTCGTATTAACGAGATAATTAACTCGTAATAACGAGATCTTTTCTCGTAATTACGAGATAAAAATATTTTTTATGTGGCCCTATTCGTCTTTAACTCGTAATAACGAGATCTTTTCTCGTTATTACGAAATCCTTTCTTGTAACAACGAGATAATAATCTCGTAATAACGAAATCTTTTCTTCTTATTACGAGATAATTAACTCTTAATTACGAGATCTTTTCTCGTAATTACGAGATCTTTTCCCGTAATAATGAGATCTTTTCTCGTAATTACGAGATCTTTTCTCATAATTATGAGATAATTCTCTTGTAATTACGAGAAAAGATCTCGTAATTACGAGATAAAAATATTTTTTTATGTGGCCCTATTCGTCTTTCATACAAGGGGGTCATGATTTGAAAACATTTAAATCTGCACTTCCAGGGAATACTTGCATATTTAAACAATTATTTTTTTTTCTTTGGTTGGTAGTACAGGAATTAATGTTGCAGCTGTTACAAAAAAAACTAGAGGTACTGTGACAATGAGCTCACTAAATAATACCCCCACCTCCCATATGAATATAATGGCAGTATCCATGTTTTGCTCTGGAAAATCCAAAATATATGTCAACAAGAGGCCCAAGGGCCACAGCGCTCACCTGAGCACATCAGCTAGGAAAAAAACACATATCACATCAGAACTGTAAGTTAACTTAAGTGGGGGGGGGGGGGGCTTGAATTTTAACCCCCAAGGGTATCATAATTTGAACGAACTAGAATCTACATTACCTGAGGATGATTCCATATAAATATTACTAATCATGGCTTTGAAGTGCTTGAAAAGAAGATTTAAAAAGGTTTCCATATATTTCTATGTAAAACTTTGGTCGGCCATTTTGGCCACACCCTTACCCCCAGGGGTCATGACTTGAACAAACTTGAATCTACATTACCTGAGGATAATTTCACATTACTTTCATCTTTCCTGATTCAATGTTTCTTGAGAAGAAGATTTTTTAAGATTTTCCTACATATTCCCATCTAAAACTTGATCGGCCATTTTGGCCCCGCCCTACCCCCGGGGGTCATGAATTGAACAAACTTGAATCTACACTACCTGAGGATGATTCCACACGAGTTTTATCTTTCCTGGCCAAGTGGTTCTTGAGAAGAAGATTTTTAAAGATTTTTCCTATATATTCCTATGTAAAACTTTGATCGGCCATTTTGGCCCCGCCCTACCCCCGGGGGTCATGAATTGAACAAACTTCAATCTAAAACTTGATCGGCCATTTTGGCCCCGCCCTACCCCCGGGGGTCATGAATTGAACAAACTTGAATCTACACTACCTGAGGATGATTCCACATGAGTTTCATCTTTCCTGGCCCAGTGGTTCTTGAGAAGAAGATTTTTAAAGATTTTTCCTATATATTCCTATGTAAAACTTTGATCGGCCATTTTGGCCCCGCCCTACCCCCGGGGGTCATGAATTGAACAAACTTCAATCTACACTACCTGAGGATGATTCCACATGAGTTTCATCTTTCCTGGCCCAGTGGTTCTTGAGAAGAAGATTTTTAAAGATTTTTCCTATATATTCCTATGTAAAACTTTGATTGGCCATTTTGGCCCCGCCCTACCCCCGGGGGTCATGACTTGAACAAACTTGAATCTACACTACCTGAGGATGATTCCACATGAGTTTCATCTTTCCTGGTCCAGTGGTTCTTGAGAAGAAGATTTTTAAAGATTTTTCCTATATATTCCTATGTAAAACTTTGATCGGCCATTTTGGCCCCGCCCTACCCCCGGGGGTCATAATGTGAACAAACTTGAATCTACACTACCTGAGGATGATTCCACATGAGTTTCATCTTTCCTGGTCCAGTGGTTCTTGAGAAGAAGATTTTTTAAAAATGCCAATAACTTTTCTCTTAGCTTATTCATGATTATCTCCCCTTGGAAAGGGGCGTGGCCCTTCATTTGAACAAACTTGAATCCCCTTCACCCAAGGATACTTTGTGGCAAGTTTGGTTGAAATTGCGCGCAGTGGTTCTTGAGAAGAAGATGAAAATGTGAAAAGTTTACAACGACAACAACGACTACGACGACAACGACGACAACGACGACTACGACGACAGACAACGGACAAATTTTGATCAGAAAAGCTCACTTGAGCCTTCGGCTCAGGTGAGCTAAAAAGTAAAATAGGAGGTGCACAATGGCAATATGTAAGTAAGATTCTGTGAAAGTTTCATTACGGTAAATTTCACTCAGTAGTATAAGAGGAGTTGCGGGTAAGAGATAGATCCTGTACCCCAAAGCCTAACAGACGGACATCTGACTGCGGACGATCATGATTTGAACAATATTTGAAAATACACTACCTGAGAGTACTTCCATATAAACATGCTAAACCTCCTATTTTACTTTTTTATTCGACACTTATTTAAGGTTTCCCATAGCAAAACATGGACATGGCCATTATATTCTTACCTATGACGTCACATATAAAGGCTTCTCAATACCATTTGACAGGACGAGTTATTCTTCTATACACATTACCGTAAAACAATATACACCAAAACTTGGACATTATAGAAGGCAGGGGGTATCATTTAGTGAGCTCATTGCTCACAGTACCTCTAGTTTTTTTTTTTTATGTCCATACCCATCCATCCAATATTTTTATCCAGGGTTGGGGGAGGACACCAAAACAATTTTAAAGATGGCCTCACTACAACTTTATATCACACACTTTATTTGCTCTATCCTATTTCATTTGTAATAAAAACAAAAGTTTATAGGGAAAGAAAATATTTATTCACAGAAATGTTAATTTGATCACACAATTTACCTCATATATGACACAATACTTAGAACTGCAGTGTTTTATTATCTTTAATCCCCATTATTAAACACTCAATTGAATTTCATTACATGTAGTACCATGGTGTCATTTCCAACAAATTTCAAAACTTCTTCCTTATTAATACATGTATATCATACATTCTATTTTAAATTTAAAGCTGATGTTTTTAGCATAAAAAAGTTATACACGATTGAAAAAATCAATGCAACAAAAACAAACAAGTGTTTAACCATGCACCATATATGTTAATACAATGTACACTAAAAATATAGAGCAACATTCATGTAAGTAACATTACAAAGACCTATAAAGTTGAGTTTTTCAAATATCAAAAAAAAAAAAGAAAAAATGTTAACTGGTTGGTTAATTCAAAGATGCTCAAGCCATGTAGCTTCCATCCGGGGTGACCTTTGCCCTGTTCTGAATGGCGTCCAGCACTTGGCTGATGTTGCCCTCTTTCTCCTCCAGAAGGCGCTGTAACCATCCACCCTCGTTATGGAAACCCATTCCCAGCATCTGCTGCAGGGCAGTGGCAATCTTAGGATCTGCAAGAAATGTTAGATTTTATAAAATCTTTCTGACAAACAAACATATTTAATTTTCCAAATTCACCAACACCACGGACTTTAAATCAGTGCCACAAAAATATGCATTCCAGCATGTCCAATGGGTATATACATATGTACTGAAAAAGTATAGACTTTCTTGTCTCAAAAACCTCCTTTTATAACTTGTAGTCAAATGTGCAAATTCCAAACAATAATTGTAAATTTGACACAGTAATAGAAGCAGTAATGTACCTGGGGCATAAAAAAATAATTTTTACCTGTGGGAGGATAGATCAGCTGAACAGCAGGAGGGGCCTGCATGGGGGCAGTGGCCTGAGGGGTAGGGGTTCTTCCCGACCCATTGCCATCCTCCAGGAGGGTCCAGGCCTCAAAGTCCTTGTTGACAGTCTCTGTGGTGTCTTTGTTGACATCAGCGTCAGTCTTATTCCCACTGCTGGTGGGTGGACCGTCAGTCTCTGGCTTGTCGGCATTGTCTGTGGCCATGGGAGTCGGTTCCTCTGGTGTCTTCTGGACCTCTGGCTCAGCCTCCGGTTTGTCAGATTCCATTTTCTCCTCCTGGTTTTCTTTCTTTCCACATTTCCCTTGTCCACATTTCCAGCCTTTCTTCCCTCTACATCCACTGCCTTGTCCCCGGGCGCAGCGTCTCCTTCCACCGTGTTCCACATCCACTTGAACATCTATTCCTACAAGGAGAGATTCTAAGGTCAATTTTTTGTTTGTTTTTAAGATTTACTATTACATATTTTGCAATGTTTGATTTTTGCCCCTTCCCACACCCCAAACTGTTATTTTTCTAATGCATCCCTTGCACAAAGCATGTTTTACTGTAATTAAGCAGAAAAGAAATGACTCACCAAATGGATCCAACATGTCAGCCACTGACTGACCAACAGACTGTAGGAAGGCTTCAGGGTTGGTCTCATCTGGAACGGGAGCCTCGTATTCCTTCTGCCCACTCCAGGGACATCCGGCATTCTGTCTATTCTGCTGTCTTCTTGCCATTCTCTCCATCCAGCGGAAGAAATGGGGTGGAGCACACTAAAATGAGAGGCATCATCAATAAATGAAAATAACATTGCTAGCTCTGTACATGTACAGTCAAACCTCATTTTCTGGAGAACTTATCAATATCCCATGATTCAAGATATGGAGAATAAAATTCATAAAAACTCTATGTGGTTGGGACTTTCAAAGCATGGTCTTGAAGGTAATGATGTTTTGACATACCTAGTCCTAAGTACAACTGTAATCTTGAATCATGGTAAAAAAAAATTCTGCTTTGACTGTGAATTATTGATACCTGCAAATTTTCTACAACCCTTTTTGCCATCTTGAAATGCCAAATTAATTAAAATTGCTAAATTATCACTGATCATAATTAATTGCATTTGGACACACTTACTGGAGGTCCTTGACCTTGAGGTCCGTGGGGTCCACAAGGTCCCTGAGGTCTCTGGGGCCCCCAGAAGGGGAAACCAAATCCTGACTGGACAGGGGTTTCATACATAATGAAGTTATGCTCCGAGTGGATACCCTTGGACTCACAGGACTCACACAGGTCATAATCCGGACAGGTAGTACATTTGTACCTCTTTCCAATCACTTTTCCATCACAACCGTCACATATGATGCGAGGGTGTTCCTGGGGTGGGGCATTTCCACTGGGTCTGCCAGTGGACTGGGAAGCTATAAGAAAAGTCAAACCTCTAAAAATTTGTCTAGAAAAATGCAATTAAAATAGTACATAAAACAAACTTAGGACTTACATTTCTTCAAACATTTATTTTTCTTCTAAATGTAATGTCTCTATAAATAATATTACACTTACCGTAATAGTTTTTCTAATTAAAATTTTTATTTATCATTTTTCACATAAAAATTTAAGCATGCACAAATATATATACTCTGTAAAATTACTAAAATAAATTAAATCAATTTTGTTCTGTGCACAAATACTTACTAGGTTTAACATAAACACGGAAAAGACCATTCTCGACAAATCCCAAAGCCTCAAGCAGTTCCTCTCCGGTAGAGAAGGCAATCAAATCTCCATCCTCATCTAAAAATAAATATTTAAATCACTCTTAATTCTCAGGTTTTCCTCAAATATTGATTCTATTAATAGCTGTTATAAAAGAGATGTTAAGTTTTGGAACTTGACACTCTGCCAAAAGAATTTAAGAAGATTATTTCCTTGTAATGAGGACTTTCAAACCAAAAATTACATAAATCTTAAACTTGTAGATTTTATTTCTCAATTTATGGAACAAATAATTCATAGTTTAGTGATCAGTTTATGTGATTATGACTACACGTACAAACATTAATTCAGTGTTATAGTTGGTTAGTTAAGAGTATAAGGTAGATCGATAAAATATCTGAACACATTAAGGTAGAAAACAAAAAATCACCAGGTATACACTGTTCGTGTTAATTTCAGGTTAAATATTTTTAATTTTGTAAAAAATACAAAATCTTACCTTTCCAATACAAGGAAAAATTGCCACGGGCAAGTCCTGGGAAAATGTCGGCAATCTTTTTCTGCAGGTAATCAAAGCTGCTCGATACGTCGGTCGGGACCGTGAAGCGCCTGATCTCGGCCTTCTCGTTACCATCTTTCATCAAAAAGGCTTTCACTGTCAACGACATCTTGAGTTCGATTCTCGCGAAATCAGCGGATGACAACTAGTTTATTCTTTACAAAAAGCTTCTGTCAACTTCCTCGAACCTCTTTCCAATTCTACCAAGTGAAATTTATTAGCTATGGAGGCGCGTTGAGCTTTATATAGGAGCCGTCAAATCCACAATATCATGATCATGTGATCATGCAACCAAAACATATTTCGTCATGTCATAGCTATTTTTAGAACTCCGAGAAAGTTCCCTGCATATCAGCATGACGAAGATCATTTTGGGAATTCCGTTTCCGCTACAGCTGCATATATAAAACTTTCTCGTTCGGATTTTATTGAAAGTCTGTATAGACTCCCCCCCCCTCTCCCCTGAAAAAAAAGATTTTTTGGAGGTCATTATTGACTGATATCAGAAACATGGTAGCTATGTCTCTACTGATGCTATCTCCTACCTCCCCAGATCACAGTTTCGCAGTTTTTCTTTTAAAATCGTTTAAAATATAATTATTAATGATGAACAAAAGGTTTGAGAAAAACTACTGGTAATATTTTACAATATACCCTTCAATCGGTAATGAAAGTGATAAATGATCATGTAAATTACGTAATTTTCAAGAGGAACAAAGAATTTTTTTTCTATGTAACTGAATTTATTTTATGATAAACAGGCGCGTGGTCAATATAATTTACAAAGCAAACATATATCACATATCAGTGCTTTTCGCATCTTTTTCAAAGATTTGAGTAGTTTTCCCCAACCCCCCACTTTCAACAGGCACGTTGCGGTGTAGTCGAAGAAGGGTAATGTAGTGGTAGTGTTTGGAAGAAAAAAAATGGTTCTGAAAGAAGTTCGCCTCCCCTCCCCCTACCCCCACCGCGGAATAGGATTTTCGTGTTTGGACTTGGACAATATAACATTTTATTCTTCTTTTCCTTCTTCTTCTTCTTCAATATAACATTTTTTTTTTTTTTTTTTTTTTTTGCTTGTCAAGATTTTTCCAGGTTCGATTTTTTTCCACTTAGCCCCCCCCCCCCTTTTCCATATGCTTCCGACGTTATGTAATAAAAATCTGGTGAAATTATAGATACTTTTCACTCTGTACAATACCTATATACAGGGAAACTCGTTATATCAATTAGATAAACGGACAGACAGACGGGTCTTCTGACGATTAAACGTTAGGGATTTTACGAACACGTCTAAAATATGCATGAAATATAATTTGAATTAATCTTAAATATCATCAAATCCCAAAATAAACGAGCCCAAATTTAGTTTAGAATACCTTAATTTCATGAATGTGGGTTTCCATTTGAGAAACCCAGACATTTTGGAAAAATTCCAGTGAACAAAACTGAACATCAGTCCCCTCTCTATATTTTTATATCCCCGCTTGAAAAGCCGGGTAGGTGTGTGTGTGTGGGGGGGGGGGTATATAGTGATGAGATTGTCTGTCCTTCCCAAAGTTTACGCCCAACCGTATACAGCCGCCTGTTAGGTTTTGGGGTATACCGAGCATCTCTAATCCGCAAATTAACTACACTGTATACTTTCACGGATTCTTTATTACATAATTTCATTGCGTACCTCATATTTTACATTTCGATCAGTTGTCATTAGTATGATTTCTGCCCCCCCCCCAAAAAAAAATCAAAACAATCCCACTTTAATTTCCTATTTGCCTTCATTTCCTTTGTTGACAATCTATTTACATGTATGGATATATAAATACACTTTAAAATTTTCATCATGATCGCAGACTTATATAATAAGAGGAAATACTGAGATATTTTTCCAGCTTTTAAAGCCTGTGTTCATCAATAAACAAGGAAACACTTCATTAACGACCACGGTCAACAAGATATTTCAAGTTAGCAGGGTGAAATGGCCGCGTGCTGGACGGTGAAAGCGCAGGTGTTTGGAGGGGAGGGACTGCCAGAGATACGGAGATTTTTGTGTTCCTCGACCACCAGCTTCCATCAGCTGTACCAAAAGATTAAAGTCACCTTTCCCGAGCTTCTCAACAGACATTTTAGTCTTCATTGGAAAGGTGACTTTTTTTTTTTTAATTGTGCACGAGGGAGAGGGGGGGGGGGGTGCAGGCCTTCAATCTAAAATTGCCATTTTAGTCAACTGGGAGCTATCTGACGGCTTGACGGGTATATGAACAAAAATTATTTTTAAATCCTTGTTTAATTAAAGATTTGGTTAATTTACGCGGTTCAAAAAACTTAATTTTCAACGGCAAAATACCATAATTTACACGTATCTGTTGAATGAAATTGACATATTCACAGGTGTTTAGATTTGCAGTGTGAAAATAACAATTATCCCCCCTTTTTTCTTATAAATTAAATCAGTTGCAGACCTGTTTACTCTTACAGAATTTTGGTCCAAAATACGTCTTACGTTTTGCTATTGTGATAATACGGAAATAAGACATACATTTGTTTGGAATTAAGCAGTTAGTTTTGAGTATATGATCTGTCTCAGTTTCAAGCTTTTAAATCGCTAAAAAAAAAAGATAAAATGACGAAGACCTTGTTATTAAACCATGTTTTAGTAATCGGAAAAGCAGTTGTTCTCCATTAATATATGTAAAATCGATGGAAAATAAAATCTTACTGGCAAATGCTAAATCTCACGATCAAAAATACTGAAAGACAACGTTATGGGTAAACAGGCCTGGAAGTTGCGTTTAAAAAAGAGTAAGTAGAGGAGTAAGATCGGACCCTTCCCCCTCCCGCTCCGCCCGATTATTTGATAAATATTCTGGTATTTTGGTTCATTTCACTCTTGTTCCAAATAAAGAAATATGATGGGAAATAATGAATTTAGAAACATAGCAGGGAAGTATTTTAAAATGCGAAAGGAAATCTTCCTATCATGAAATAGCTATAATTATATTCCAACATACATGTATTTGTAATGGAATTTGCAGATTATTTTGGTACTTCATGCAGCTAGATTTGGCAATTGAAATTTTCCAGCTCAAGTGGGAGAAAAAATATATTTTAAGTCGTGCTTTGTGCTTAAAAAACGAACCTATTGGATTTGTAATCATATGGGATGGGGTAGTTCCTGTGTGTCAAGTAGTCGCTACACATCATGGATGTTCTTGCAAATAATCCCGTTTATTTTTTATTCCGGTAATTACTGATGAACATTTTAGGGTACATTACGTCTGTCTGTCCCTTCGTGTCACTGCCTATACCGTATTAGAAGCAGCACATTTTTTACACGTTGTAATACGTAACTGAACTTTCGTTGTCAACCTCATGGATCCCCAAGGGTCTGACGAGGAGTGTTGTTTAACAAGTTACGCCCAGTATATAGTAGTGTCACTCTCCTTTAGTATATTAACCATATGATTGTGGTCATTCCAAGTAAATGCAGAGAATCAAGTACAGTGCAATTAAGTACGGCTCCGTGTAAAAATCATGCAGACAGTACAGAAAAGGTGATTCATCGACCATGTTCAAATTCAATAAAATTGGGTTTAATATATTCATTTGGGTCTAAAATGGATAAAAACAGTTGATTTTGTTATAATTCTTCTTTTTTCATATAGCCAGGGATGAAGTACTTGAGGTGTAATTTTGTATAGATAGTGTGCAAATAATGCCTATTTCAGAAAAGAATATCTTTAAAACCCTAGAAGATGTACAAAAACTTAATACATAATTCAAGTGAACATGGAAGGCTTAATAAAAATTTACTTTAATATTTTTGTGCAAACGAAGTATTGAAAAGATACAAGGTGTTTAAAATCGAGAATTTGTCAAGATTCTTCAAATGAGTTATCTCCCTTTGCAATTTTACATAGGTGGCGCTAGTAAAAAAAAAATGGCAGCCTCCATGGTTCGCTGTACGCTGCAAAGGTATTTTGATGCATCCTGTGATGTTTATTGCAAAAATATGTGTGAAGTGACATAAATTGGTTGAAAGGATTCAACAAGAACAGATTAGGCATAGTTTTCGGGCAAAAGTGTAGCCATGTGTCATGTTGATTAGTATATTTGACCTTGTTGACGTTCTCTCGAAATGGTACTCGCCTACTGACACCGTTGTGATCTATCTCAGAAGTTTAAATTCTACGTAATCCACCAGAGTCCAAGAGTTAACTCCCAGAGAGGGGTGGCAGTCCGATTTTGTCAGCTTACTCGACTTGGAGAGGGAAGATAATTTACATTTGGACAGTTACATTTGACCAGGTAAGATCAGGTCCAGAACACTGCAGAACAATTTCTTGATTATTTAAGATAATTAATTTTGTAGCTTGAAATAGCTATGTAGCTATGTAGCTTTAATATGTTGACGGTGCGACCGTTAGGGTGAAAGCATATACTTATCCATTTTCATTTAGATTAGACATGTAAATCCGCACATGACATTCGGTGCATATTAGATTCTGACGTCGTTTGTATGTTGCTTTAGCAAACCGAAGCCTGAACAAGGCTGATTTCAATCAGTTTATGACTATCTTTCTGCAATAAACAAATAAATTCATTAAATCAAGACAAGTTTATTATTCGTTTAACTTTTGTTGTTATTCTCGCGAGAATGTTGCTTTAGAGTTTGTGTATGAAGTGATGCAAATGTGGGTCTAAATTACTGCGGTAAAAAATTCTTTGGAATGAATGTGCAGTAGTCTGAATTTTCTCTTTGCCCAGGCATTGTCATCAGAGCTCGCAGTTACGTGCATCACTATGCGACCCTTGCTGCACTCGCTATTAATCTATTCAAAATAGCTTGGTAAAGCTTTTTATATGCAGTCAAAAGTATTTTACAAGTCCTATATGACAATGTATTATGAGTCTTTAATAAAAAGGAAAAATCATAGATACTTGTAGTATTGCAGCTGTTGTATACTTTTAATTAAGCAAAAGATGAATTTCCATTTTCTTAAGAGCTCGGGTACACTACCGTTAATGGAAGGTAATTTTCAGCACAATGTTTTTGTCTCTACTCTAGCATTCTACAATTAATTGAATGAGTACCCAAGCATGACAGTCTACTATTTGTTAATACAAATCAGAAGTGACACACGGTTTTTGTCGATTTACTGCATACTTTATTTACCTCATCACCAAAAACAGTAGAGTTTCTTTTTTACTTTATACAGCCAAAATTGAAAGATTAGTTTCCAAAGACACTGCTCAATGCTCACATTTAAAATTGTAGTTTTAGATGATAAATCAGTGAACCTTCAGATATCTGGACGCCAGATATCCGAATGCTTCAGTATTCAGACGATTTTTCATCGGAACGAAAATTTTTAACGTTATTTTGTCTTGTTTAACTGGTAATTCAGGTATCCGGACACTTCACATATCTGGACAATTTGACTAGGAACCAAAGCGTCCGGATAAATGAGGTACCACTGTAGTTGCTTCCAATACCTACCGTACAAACCTTGTGACGTTTGCATGTCTTTATACTTTTGATATTTGATTGAGGGGTTAAATGATAATTGTGCACCTTGTGCTGCTGTCTAAAACTATGTAAAGAAAACTGATAGCCAATTTACATGCAAATTTAAGCTGATGTGTCATCAGATAATCTTGTCGTCTAAACCTGTTTAAGTTACTGTGCACTCCCCTATGTGCGATGAGGCACGAATAAGTATGATGGTATGGTTAAGGCAGTGTTTGAAATAACTGTTACTCAACCGCCTGAGATGCACAAACTTTGTCACAGGCAAACAGATTTGTAACAGATTACAGATTTGACACCCGACTGAAAATGAAAAACTTTTCAAAGACTTGACCTTGGTTATGACTTTTGAATGAAAAATAAAGGGCTTTTCTCAATGGGATTCAAAACCAAGGTGCACATGGATCTTAAAAAAATAGATAGAAAACTTGGAATGGTTTAAGTAACAATCTTTTAAAATCTTCTCAAGAACAGCAAAGTGGTGATATGGAAGCATTTCTCTGGTGATGTCACTATAAATAAATTGGTTAAGTTAAACCCCCCTTTGGGTAGGATGGGGCCACAATGGGGATCAAAGTTTCACATTGCAATATAAAGGGGAGAATCTTCCCTAGAACAGCAAAGCCATGATTAATATTGTACTGATATGGAAGTCATTGGAAGAAGCCTCAAGTAGTGTAGATTCTGTTTAAATTGTACTTAAGTTAAAACTGGAGACATATTGCAAATGATGAAAAATACACTAGTAGAAAAGATATTTCACATACAGCAAAACTCGTTTACTACGAACACGGATATAGCGAATTCACAGATGTAGCGAAGTTATTTTAGATCCCCAGCTACTGTAGATCACTAAATTTTCGCGAGATAGTCATTGACTCTTGATTAATGAGACAAAATTTTCACAAATTGTGGTTTTTAGCTCACCTGAGCCAAAGGCTCAAGTGAGCTTTTCTGATCACATTTTGTCCGTCGTCCGTCCGTCTGTCCATCTGTCTGTCTAGCTGTCTGTCCGTCCGTCTGTAAACTTTTCACATTTTCGACTTCTTCTCAAGAACCACTGGGCCAATTTTGACCAAACTTGGTACAAAGCATCCTTGGGTAAAGGGGATTTTAAATTGTTAAAATTAAGGGACATATCCCCTCGCAAGGGGAGATAATCAAGAAAAGACAAAAATAGGGTGGGGTCATTAAAAAATCTTCTTCTCAAGAACCACTGGGCCAGTAAAGCTGAAACTTATGTGGAAGCATCCTGGGGTAGTGTAGATTCTAAATTGTTCAAATTATGACCCCCGGGGGTTGGGCGGGGCCACAATAAGGAATCCAAGTTTTACATAGAAATATACAGAATAAATCTTTGAAAATCTCCTTCTCAAGAACTACTGGGTCAGAAAAACTGAAGCTTATGTGGAAGCATACTGGGGTAGTGTAGAATTCAAATTGTTTAAATTATGATCATTGGGGTAGGGTGGGGTCACAATATGTATTACAAGGGGGAAATCTGGTAAAGAACAGAATGGCCAAAGCTTCTCAGGTGAGCGATGTGGCCCATGGGCCTCTTGTTCTATATAATCTTAAGGAATACTTTTATATGCGAGAATTTAATTTTCGCGAGCACACTGTCTCGCGTAATTATGCGAAAATAAAGTTCTCGTGAATAAAAAGTGATTTACAGTATATAAATTTAACAAATATGGATATAACGAGTAATTGATGTAGCAAAGTAATTTCATAGGTCCCGGTGACTTTGTTATAACTTTGTTTTACTGTATTTCATAAATTAGTATTATTGTTTTTTAGATGAATTAAACCCCATTTTATTTTCACAGAATGTATGCGATGGGCTGCATCATGGTTTTGAAGGAAAAGGTTACACTATTTATTACAGACAGCAAGAAAACATCATTGAACACCACCAACTAATAAGACTCCAAAGGTGGGGGAATATATGTCATGCAACCATTTATAGATTTTTAATGAAATTACTGCATTATATAAACTTGATATTCCATGTAAAGTAATTCATAAAATCAAAATAACCATTTAGTACCTTAATAATAATGTAGCATAAACTAAAGAATTCTAAATTGATGAATGATAAGTACATGTACATGTATATTGTAATTATTATTTTAGGAATAATGGAAAATAAGATATTTAAAGCTGTCAAAAAGCAGAGATTAGAGTTCAGTGGATTCCATGATGGTACTTTGGATAATGTTAATCAGGCAGCAATTCTCTTCCCAAGGATCTTAAGTGCTTTTAGAAGAGGCTAATAAACAAAGGACAGTCACTTACTACAGAAGAGAAGCAGGGGAGATTAGTGATATTCTGAGTGGCATGACTGCACCTTACAAAGATGTAAAACTTTAAAAATTGTGTTTAAATATACAATGACTATATGATAAGTGTATCTAGTAATCAATATTAATATGATTAATATTTTCAAATGTTTTTTACATTTTACTGTTCATTAATGAAAAAAATAATTTGTGTTGTATTTGAATTTGGAAATGTAAAGGAATTTATTTTAAACTGTAAACTGATATTCTTACATGTAGACATGTACTGGCGTGTGTACATGTTGTAAATATTGGACTCTGACAAAAGATGAATGCTACTTTTTTTGGTGAAATTATTAATCACAATGATTTATGTGCACATGATTTTTTTTAATTTTCCATAGGTTATGGTATCTATGAAACCTACTCAGCCTTTTTGTTTGGCTATTTTTAAATCATAGATATATTTTATTTTCTGAAATCCTCAAAAAATGATATTTTGTTCTTTTTTGTCAACATGAATTATCTCCCCCTTTCAGCTTGAAATTAGAAATAATACTGTAGATATAATTTGATTAATGAAAATAAATAATTGTGTTGTATTTGGATTTAGAACTATAAAGAAATTGTTTTGAAATGCTATTTATAATTTAACATGCATATAAAATATATACATGACATTTATTTGACCGTGACGAAAAAGTGAATTTCCCATTTTTTGTATAAAACTCTTCAATGGCTTTTGGAAATTAATAATCAATTGCACAAAATGTTTTTAATATTTTATTTGCCATAAGGTATGGTGTCTAGGAAATAAACACTGCCTTTCTGTTTGGCTGTAGTGTATTTTTTCTTTAAATTTTTTATAATATAGCTGTAAATCCTTTAAAAATTGAAAATTTCAGTTTTTCTCGACATGGATTATCTCCCCTTTTCAGCTTAAAATTAAAAACTATTACTGGACGTGGTAATATTTGGATTAATTATGAAAAGTAAATAATTTAATTGTATTTGAAAATGGAAATATAAAAAAATGGTTTTGAAATGCTATTTATTTTTTACATGCAAACATATATGGCATATATATTGGACTGTGACCAAAAAAGTGAAATTACCATTTTTGTACAAAATTCATCAGTTGTTTTGGGAAATTAATAATCATTTGCACAAAAATGTTTTAATAATTTTATTGATTTTAGACTATAGTCTCTATGAAACTAGCATGACTTTTTAGTTTGGCTGTGGGGTTTTTAGAAATTTTTGATAGATAAAAATCCTAAAAAATGGATATTTTACATTTTTTGCCAATATGGATTATCTCCCCTTTTTAGCTTAAAATTAGAACACATTACTGGTCATAAAAATATTTTGACTAGATATGGATAGTAACTACTTATGCTGTATTTTAATAAGAAATAAACATAAATGTGTTTTATTGTTTAGTTTTCTTTTCATTTAATCTTCATTATTGGTATTTTTGCCTGTTTTTAGAGGAAATTTCAGCCATTTTTTGCCCAAAACAGTTTATCGGTTGCCATGGATACCAATGGCAGGATTAAAAAAAAATTATAATTTTTTTGGGAGTATCTTAGCATACTCTACCAACATGCAAAGTTTGAAGAAATTCTGAAACCCCCCATGAATCACCCTCTGCATGATTTTTACACGGAGCCGTACTTAATATCACCCACGTCCTAGATAATCCGTAATCGAATATTTCCTGCAAAGCAAACGCTTATTTTCAAGTACGTTATTTCTTGCATGCATGTTCTTGGTTTTTGATTTCCTTGAACGCGCGTCTTTAACTTGTTTACATACCTGACTTTGCAGCTTTAGAAGCTGAAGTATGTAACTAATTTTATTCATTTATTTATTTACCGGGTATTTATTCAATCATTCATTTATTTAGATGAAGATGGGGACTTCGTGTCATTTTCCTCGGATGAAGAAATGTCGGAGTTTACAACGAATGTCGATGACGGGTTCTTGAAAATATTCGTGAGAGGTATGAAGTTATTATATTTCACAACACATCTGGAATGGTGGTTTGTTAAAAATCTTTTTTTTTTTCGTTTTTCAGTACACACTCCGTTTACCCAGAAATCAAGTTTTGAAGCAACTGCATCAAAACTGCCTGAAATTGAAAGAGTTGAATTTATGCAACATGTTGCAGCCGGTTTAAAGATATTTCTTGATTATATGACTGCGCTTGGTAATATACAAAATGCATGATTTACTTATATTAAGTTTCATTTTTGAATACATGTACCCTTTTAATTCCTAATTTTAATTACAAGTGGGTATACATAATCGAAATTTACAGGAAATAATGGCAGCAAAGTTTCAAGGAACAGTGCTCAAATGGAATCTGATGACGTCATACACCACAACACTCCTGTAGACGAAAGAGATGAGTCAACTAAAGCCGACTCTGATGAAGTCGTCGGGGATCAGGATACTAAGACTTCAGAGCGCAAACACGACCCAGATTCTGAAACAGAAGAAAAAGAAACAATGAAACAGGAAACAACCCACAAATCACCTCCATCAGAAAATAATCCTAAATCAAGTTAGCTTTTCGAACATTACTTTCTATAAATAGAGGCATCTCAGGAATACTCTACACTCCCTTTATTTAGTTAGTTCGAATAAGAAGTATGAATAAATGTTGTATTAATTTATAATTTTTTGCTTGAATTTAGGTAGTCACATTGAGGAAGCCCTGCAGCAGTTGATAGCCATGGGATTCCACAATGAAGGCGGATGGCTCCTCCGTCTATTAGAAGAAAAGGATGGCCGTATAGACGACGTATTGGAAGACATTCTTTCTGACGAACATATTTCGAGTATAAACAATTTTTATTTTAATAAAATGTATACATTTTAAAAATAAATGTATAATATTATATCTTTCATCTACATTTATGATCAAAATTTAAAAAAAATGCTGAACAAATTAAACATGTAATAAAACATATTTGCGACAAAATTGTATATTTTTGAACATATATACATCCTGCCCTTTGGAAAATGCTCTTTTTTTAAATATAGATTACGTTTTTTAAACACGAAAAATTCATGTGAGCACAGCACATGACTGCAGGCGTAAATGAATTTCGTGCCTATAAAAAAAAAAGGCAGGATTTTGGCTTTTTTGACGAAAAATATTTGTTCGAATGCCCTTCTTTGTTTATCATATTACTTGATTTAATTTGACCATATAACCTAATTCACCCTCATCCCATCTGAAGTTTATGATCAAAGAGCTTCAAAGGCATGTGTAGTACAAAAACATGGAGCATAATATATTTCAACATAATTGAAATGATAAATCTAATAAAATAAATCATTGAAAGATTATTCGAATTATTCTTTCTGTCAACAGAAGACAAAGTTAAGTTACTCTCGAAAGTAATATGGCTTTTTCTTGTTGTACATGTACATAAGTCTTCAAAGCTCATACATTGTCCTGCATTAGTTGTTATTTATCAAGTGAATACTCAGATTTACTTTCCTAACCATTCACAGGGTTGGACTAAAATTTGCTCTCCTAATTAAAAATTATGCTCTCCAACTCTGTATTATTTTCTGAATAAGAAACAGGATTGAAATCAAATATGTTAGAACTCCTTTTGAGATACCGGGTATAACGCTTTCCTACTCTATATTTATAAATCAGAAACAATGTCTAAAACATTTACTGAATTGAAATTATATATATGCTCTCCCTTTGAGAAATATGCTCTCCTATTGAGAAACATACTCTCCTGCTTTCTATTTCTAAACCAGAAACAAGACGACAGATTCGGTATGGATCAGGACTGAAGTGTACCGGTTGTTCTGACCACCTGTCTGAAGAGGAAGTTTGGTACAGATGTCCTCTACGTTCTGGTGTCAATCTCTGCCAACATTGTATGGAACGAGGGGTCCATAGTATAAGCAGGTGTTTGGGGGAAAATGAGGTATACTTTATCAAACACTCTTTTGACCTACCTAGTCAAAGGAAAGGACAAGGTATGGTAACCACTGAATCTGGCCCCTTTTTTTTGATGTAAAAATCAGAACATGGTCAAAACTGTGATAGCTAGTTTGTAGTCAAGAACTTAAATTGATGCTTGTTTTAAAAACACTACTAATTTTGATTCAAAGCTTACATGGAGGACACAAGAGGGTGAAGAAATGGGACATTTTACCGAATTTTTCTCAATTCTGATGGATTTTCGTCATATTTGAGATATTTTTCACTTCGGAAAACATAGAGAACAAGCTTGCCTACATGATTTTTACATAAAAGATGCATCTGATACTAGTGTATGAAATACACCGTATATAAATTTGGTAGATAGGCAAGCTTGTGCTCAATGATTTCTAAAGAAAATGTGCTGTAAAATTGATTAAAATTTGCATGAAAATGAGAACATTTGGAAATTGACATATTTTTACCTTCCTGTGGCCTCTGTGTATCCCATAACTAAGAACCAAAATACTCATTTTTGAGCAGGGGTGATAAGTGGTTTCAGTTTACAAAATGTTTCATCATTCTAAAAGACCCCAAATCAGGGGCCAGAAAGGGGTCAAACCCTACCTTGTCCTTTCTTCATAATGTCAAAGCTCTAGGGATTTCAATATCTTAACTGTGAACCAATTCACAGGGCAAGACAGAAAGGTGATTTACAGGAAAAAATTGTATCATAAGGCTATTCTCAGTTGAATTTAAGAAGTTATTTTTTTTATTCGAACAGAGTATTCCTTTTCAAAAAGTTTTTCAAAATCTGGAAAAACACTTTGATGAAGATGGCGACAGAGTAAGAAAAGAAAGGGATGGGGCTCACAGTTTTGAAGAAGATTTCCTGAAATCAATGAACTTTGTTTGGAGGAACTTTCCAAAAATATTTCCAGGTAGACCCTTCTGCAGATTATTTTAGTATGACTGGTATGCAATTTTCAAAGTATCAAGTGTAAATTCATATTAAATGTATAAAGAATGACAACTAACTTGAATCCCCCAGTCTTAGCTTAGGGAAATTTGAATTATTTGCACTTTAGGAATGTTTGCTTCAACACCAACCGACCAAAGATCAAAATCAAGAGAAACCCATAGATCGTGTTCGAAACAAAAATGTGACGACCCAAAAGAATTTAAATCGGAAACAAATAGAAATTCTGACATAGATGTTGATGGTCCTGCAGCAGGGACAGACTCGTCCAAAAATGACGGACAATGGACTTTTGTAGAGGGTGACACTCCTCAAAGTGAGGCCAAACAGGAACCGGAAGCAAGTGCTTGCCACGCCCACAAACCGCTGAAGGCGGAACATTCCCTGGGTTTTAAAATGATGGATCCACCAAGTGGTAGGCTAAACTATACATTCTTGATTATCATGTTTGTAAGTTTGATTATTCTAAAAGCATGAAAACTGAAGAGACATATTTATTTTTATTTTATTTGATATATGTATGTCTTATAATATCATTTCGGAGATGAGGAGATCAGCATCATCATTAATGTATTTTGTGTTTCTTAAATTATTTTTATCTGTGTGAAATTTTATAATATTTGCATGAAATTACAATATTGATATTCAAAATAACACGATAAACTAAATTTATGTATATATGTAAAAATATTGTCATGACAAATTGTCTACCAGGGTATATACCTACTCAATTAAAATTGTAGAGCAATAACATGTTAATATAATATGTGTTAGATTAATTAACTGTGGATAATTAATTAATTATAGATCCAAAGATTGCCGATTCTCTAACGGAAATGATGTCAATGGGTTTCCACAATGATGGCGGATGGTTACAGTGTCTACTGGAAGAAAAAGATGGCGACATCGAGACGGTGCTGGATATCATACAGAAAAGTGCCAAGGAAAATAAATAAATGGATTATCTATTTCTGTTTGATTAACTTTGTATGATTATGTTAAAATATTAAGGACTTTGTATTTAGAGAATTACACTATTATGTCTGTAAACACATGTATGTTGTTCTTATTTTCAATTCACGTTGTTTTTATTTATTTATGTTGTATTGTTGTGTTTTTCTTTCTTATATTTCTTTTCTTTCTTTCTTTTTTGTAAAAAAAAATTATTATTTTATTTGTCTTTTAACTGAGAACAGGCCCGGGAAATCATGTTATATTTTACCAAATCTACAGCTCTTGGAATTTTTTTTTAGTTTAATGTTTTTTTTTGCTCTTCATCTAAAAAGGGTGCTACGAAATCATTTTGTCATATTTTTATTTTATATACATGTAGTTCTTACGAAAGACGAATAGGGCCACATAAAAAAATATTTTTATCTCGTAATTACGAGATAATTATCTCGTTATTACGAGAAAAGATCTCGTAATTACGAGAAAAGATCTCGTTATTACGAGATAATTATCTCGTTATTACGAGAAAAGATCTCGTGATAACGAGTTAATTATCTCGTTATTACGAGAAAAGATCTCGTAATAACGAGTTAATTATCTCGTAATTACGAGAAAAGATAATTAACTTCAAATATCGAGATCTTTTCTCGTTATTACGAGATCTTTTCTCGTAATAACGAGATCTTTTCTCGTAATTACGAGATCTTTTCTCGTTATAACGAGATAATTAACTTGTAATTTCGAGATAATTAACTCGTAATAACGAGATCTTTTCTCGTTATAACGAGATAATTAACTCGTAATAACGAGATCTTTTCTCGTAACTACGAGATCTTTTCTCGTAATAACGAGATAATTAACTCGTTATTACGAGATCTTTTCTCGTAATAACGAGATCATTAACTCGTAATAACGAGATCTTTTCTCGTTATTACGAGATCTTTTCTCGTAATAACGAGATCATTAACTCGTAATAACGAGATCTTTTCTCGTAATTACGAGATAAAAATATTTTTTTATGTGGCCCTATTCGTCTTTCGTAAGTACGTTCTCGATATCAATTTATTACATTTTATTTTTTCAATGAATTGATTGTTAAATTACATATATAAGCTAGGAAAAACCCATGAAAAGCAGCTTTAAATCAGGGGAAAATAATATTTGATGTATCATACATAAGGGTTTAGAGAAATAGTTTTAAAAGCCAAAGACCTGTATTGATTCTGTAGGAGTTTTGTAACTATATATTTATGCATTGTATACATTTATATGAGCTAGATTGTTTTGTCTTATATATTGTATACATTCATATGAGCTAGATTGTTTTGTTTCAATTTTTGTCATTGTTTCATAAGTATTATTTTGTAAGCTAATCCCTAATAAGCCTGGTATTTTCCCCATTTTCATTTAAATACTGTACAACAATTTAAAATTACGCTCAGAGAAGGTCGCGATTTGCCCTATTTACATGTTATTGTACATACATGTTGTATCTGTGTGTTTTATTTTGTTTATTTGATATTTTGTTTCAATAATATTTTTAGTGTTATGGATGAAATTATCAATTTGATTAAATATATGTACATGTAATTAATGAAGTAACAATAAATCTGTTTTTTTTTTTTTATATAATAAATGTAAAATTAATAAAGTTTCTTATAATTGTTAAAAGAAATAAAGGAGCATCTTGGTTCAGAATAAATAAGGGGTAACTGTCAGAATCCAACATATTTACGGTTCATTTCCAGGAATTTGGTTACAGCATTTCGATTTTCGGATAGGAATTAATTAGGTTAAAATGTAATGGAGATTTAGAAAATGCATATATTTGACGTCAGAAAAATTAGTCAGAGAAGTTATGTTTAGATACATGTATTTAAGATTATTGGCCTTGTCATGATTTGGATTTTGCTCCTTTAAGGAACTTTTTATTTTTTTTTATTTTTAAATCATTTTTTCATATAAAATATTTGAAAGTGTTACTTTTATCTGTTTGTTATGGTGTTCTTCGGGTTTCATGCATTTCGCCCGATCCAGTAAATCAAAAATATTACCGGTATATATAAGTCATTTTATGTCTAAACATATCATATCAAAAGAATCTGATGCATTGGCAATGAAATTTAAACAAGTAGAAAAGGGGGGTTGAGCTCCCGAGATCTTTTACCTTTCTGATGTCAATGCCGCCATTTTAAAAACGATGCTATCTGCTGATAATCTGATGATAAAGAAAAGTATGTCAGCGTGAAAAGTGTGAGCATTATTAGCTGTCATCTGCAAAATTCCTTTATCACTTAAAAAAATTACTTTAAAATTAAATGAAGAAAACTTTTGGTTATGATAATTTGAAGTACATATATATAGCGTATCTTATGAGCAAAAAAGTAATAATATGAAACTGAGTGTAGATCAGTCTAGTGTAGATATACATAATATAACCATTTTCATGATTTTTGGTTAAGGGATCCGAATTCGAAAACGTGCAGGTGGAGGTGCAAAATCATTACATTTCCTAAAGATTGCTAAAATCTGGCAATTTCCTCTCTTTCTCTCTCAATATCTCTCTTTCTCTATCCTTTCTCTTTTCTCTCTCTCTCTCTCTCTAAAAAATCGCATCTCTCTCAATGTTAAAATACAGAAAATATATACATGAATATATTGTAAAGTAATGTATCAGAATCTGTGAAGGAAGAAATAAAAGATTGCTCTTTTAGTATATGTTTACATGACAGATAACAGGATAATGGAATGCATATATATGGTAATTAACATGAATTTTTTTGTACTGCATGAAGAAAACTGATGAACATGTGGATATTAAAAATCCTCTACACATGTGATGAACATGCGTGATTTGCAAGATATAAAAGTGATATCACGTGTTCAAAAGTCAGACTTGAAAAATTATATAAATTACTACCCCCCCTTTTTTTTAATGTAAATTTATTAATTTGATGAGGTTTATTAAAAAATAGTTTCCGATTTGTTATTTTTGTGTCATAATAATTTTATATATATTAATTTGAAATTAGTCGATCGACCCATGTGACGAACATGTGCGATTTGCATGAACACCATGTAGGTCTATACACAGCTTTTATCACGTGTTTAACAAACTGTCGAATCAGAGGCATAAATAAGTCTCTGGATGAATGATCAAAACAAGAACTTTTACAGTAAATGCATGTGTTGACAAGTTTTGATTCGTAACTCGTTGTATTTTCAATCAAATCTGATTTGTTATTTTCGTCTTGTTGATATTTTGTTCGTTTCACTTCCGGGTTATTTTGAATAAATTATGCAAATTACAAAAACATGCCATGACGTAAAATCAGCCCATCTCATGCGTTGTTTTGATTGGTTATCGGCCTATGGTGTTACCGTACTACATCCAACTCATTTAGACATGGAGAACGTGGATGGCTGGACGATTCCAGCCGGAGATAGTTTAGTTGACCATGGAAATGATTTTTTAACTGCTAACGATCTTAACAGTGCAGCTCTTGATGATATCGATGGTAAGTTTTGATGGAATTTCGCTTTTTTAATAGATTAGCCAGCATGAAAAGTCAGTGCATCTGCATGGCACATTTTCCGTTTTGTAGAAAAATACCACTTTCAAAATAAATATGTTTGTATTGTATATTTATACATCTACTAGGTGTATATATTCAACTATGAAGAAGTAATGGTCAATTCTTTTATCACACTTGTATTTGACAGTGTATGGGGGGTGGGTGGGTGGGTGCAGTGGTTTTGGGTTGTGCCCTGAGGTTGCTCGCAGACCTGTAGCTCTCTGTGACAAGAAAATCCCATCTCACTCTCAGTGTTTCCGAGTATTTTGTCCCGATGAGCTGTAGTTCTGTGAATTTGTAAAAGTGATCAAATAAAGAGTAGTCATGTAAGATAAGAAGGTGATGAAAGCAGACACTTATCAATTGTTGACTTAAACTTCACAAAACACTAAATATTATAACTTAGCTTTTAACTTCATGAATGGTGTTCTCTAACATATTCAGAGAACCCAAGAAAGAATTTAGCGTGACAGTCTCAGAGTGATGCAACAGTGGTAATGGGAGAATGTGTAATTATGTATATTGCGCATACTAGTACTGACCTTTGTTTTCCACATGCAAATTATAGAATACACGGGGGATTGATATTTGTCTTGTTTTGTAGATATTGTCCAGTATATGTTATGTGACACAAGTTCAACCAAGAACGATTTGTTTGATGGCCAGCTAAATTTGTTAAAACCAGAGGCAGAGGGTTTTATGGACAGTCAGCCCTTGCAGGAGCCAGTGAAACCTGAATTGTCCTTTGATGAGCAGTTGGATTTGTCAAATTTGAACAGTGCTAACTCGAGTGTGTTACTAAGTGATGCAAACTTCAGTGCTGATAGTTTAAATGGATTGGAGGGTGTGGACTTGTTAGAGACAGTGGGAGGGGATACTCTCAAATCACCCCTCGTGAACATTTCCCATTTCAATAGTGCTCAAAATCTTCAACAGGCTGCATTAAAACTTCAGAAACAAGTTCAACTTGTTCAGCAGCAAAAACAGTTACTGCTATTGCAACAACAGCAACAGCAGAAGCAGCAACAGAAGCAACAACAAGCCCAACTTTTACAACAGCAGTTGAGATTAATTCTGCAACAAGCAGCCACAAAGTCGCCACCAGTTGTTGCACAGCCCCAGCCACAGGTTCAACAGCAACAAGTGAGCTTACAGCAACTGCAACAGGTAATGGCCATTCGAAAATTCAGGCCAAGAAAATGATAAAATGAACGTGCAAAGTTTTGAGAACTGAAGAATTAATTTGTTTTACAACAAATTTTGTAAAGATGTGTGACATATGTACCTTTTATTTCAGCTTTTACTGCAGTCACAAGCTCTGAATCAGCCTGTCATATCTGCCATTCCTGCTTCAACATCACCACCACCGGCGACACAGACTGCACAAGTCATCAAAGCACAGAATGTCACCACCCAGTCACAAGTGGTGTCCTCGACCCCTAACATTGTCACCCTGTCCTCCCTCTCTCCAACCACCCTGACCCCCCAGCAAACCGTCACCACTACCGTCCCTCA